CAACTCCACGTAACATATTAACACTTCAGACCATTGCTATGGAAAACAAAAATGGTCTAAAGTTTGCTCTTCTGGGCATGGGGTGGAAGAATGTTGTCCTCTATGTAACCCTGAATTTTAAAGATTTTGTTTGTGTGCATGAATATGCACATACACAATTATCTTTACATTTTGAATGCAGATGTCCATGGAGTCCAGAAGAGGGCATTATATCCCTTGGATAGGGACACAGTTGCTTGTTGTGGATGCAGAGAAACAAACTCAGTCCTCTGAAAGAGCAACAAATGATCTTAATCACTGAGCCAGCTCTCTAGCATACACGAACTGTGATTTTTTTTTAATTTATTTATTATGTATACAACATTCCTTCCATGTATGCTTGCATGCCAGAAGAGGGCACCAGATCTCATTACAGATGGTTGTGAGCCACCATGTGGTTGCTGGGAATTGAACTCAGGATCTCTGGAAGAGCAATCAGTGCTCTTAACCTCTGAGCCATCTCTCCGGCTCTCTTTTTTCCTTTTTTAAAGGACAGTGGTGATGGTGATGAAACACAGAATCACATACAGCCAGCCTCAAATTTACTGTGTAGCTGAGGCAGCCCTTGAATTCCTGATTTTTCCAAGTGCTGGGATTCAGGTGTGTGCCATCACACCCAGAATTCTTAAACTTAAAAGAAAAAAAACAAAAAAAAAAAAACCCTCTTGAATTAATCAGTCAAAGAAAATGATGGATCAAAGTTGAGGTGGGTTTTTTTTGTTGTTTTTCTCCCCCCAGGAAAAAGCAATACTCACAGGTTTTAAATGGATGACAGAACTATTAGACATCACTGTATGGTCTCCCTCCATCATGTCAAGCTCACTCTTGTCATCCGAGGCATCTGGAAGACTGTTAACACTGCTGCTTTGGCTGCTGGCACTGATAGACATACTGGGAATAGACTGATTACTTCCAACACTATTCACTGTTCCTGTCCGGCCAACACCATGATCTTGCTCCTAAAGGAAAAGAGCATTAAATTACAATATCCAAATCTTTTCTCAATTATAGATTAAAGGAGAAGAAAAGCCTGATGAACACAAACAGGTTTCTTTAATAAAAGACTTCATGTATCCTTTACTATACAATATAAAGGGTTTGATAGAAAGTATATCGTAACAAGATTTCTTTTTTTTTTTTTTGAGCTAAAGACCAAACCCAGGATCCAACTGCTTTACAAATGAGATAAATCCCATACCCCTAAAATAACATTAAAGACCTTTGTTCATAACTAGAATTTCAGAGCATCAATGATAAGAGCACAATATACTGAAACCAGGGATATAAAAAGTATGTTTGGCTGAACAAGTAGTGTAAGAAATCAATAATAAATGCAACTAAAAATCTGATCAATTATACCTCCTCTTCTTCCTGTGCTTCTACCGCTGGTCCATTATGTGCCTCCTGGAAAAGAAGTTTCTTCATTTTTCGATACTGCAGATTGTCCAGCTCTCTTACTGCATCCTTTGTCCTTTGAATGAGATCTATTAACACTGTTTCCGGGCGCTCTCGAAGAACAAACATGTGCTGGAAGAGCAGAAAATTAAAAAAAAAAAAAAAAAAAAAAAAAAGTTAACTTTTTTCCTAATTAGTTCAAATATATTCCTTTTTCAATCTACAGTTATTACCCTAAGATACACAATTCATACAATCTATAGCTATTTAATTCTATTACATCTATGACTCTGATACTTAGAAAGTAGTAATTTCCACATTCAACTTGTACCTTCATAAATATCTTGAATAAAATCCTCATCATGATATATTTAGTTGGCCAATGAAAATACAGTTGAAATTATCAAAGCTAATAAATTCTAAAAACAAAACAAAAAAAAAAAACCCATGCTTGATTCAACTAGGAAAATTTACTATCAATAAATTAAGTAATAAGAACTTAGACATTATGGATTTCTTTTTCTTGTTACAGTTAAATGCTGGCTTTGAACTCGTGGTACTCCTTGTGCTGAATTACAGGCATAAACAGCCATGCCCAGATATTAAAATGTGTTGCTAGTGTGAGTGCTCAGTTGGCCAAGCTTTTATTTCTGAGACCATAGGTGAGCTTATTCCCTGGAACTACAAAAGCAGTATGGAAAATTTTTACTGTTTTTCTATATAATGTGATTGAACAATATTATCAAATGTATGTGTATATATTTGTTGTAGTTTAATTTAGCTGACATCTGTAGGTGAAAAAATTATGTAAAAATAGTTCATATAGAGGGCTGGAGAGATGGTTCAGTGGTTAAGAGCAGTCAGTGGCTGCTCTTCAAGAGGACCCGGGATCAATTCCCAGCACTCACGTGGCAGCTCATATCTGCCTATAACTCCAATTCCAGGGGATCTGACACCCTCACACAAACATACATGCAGGCAAAACACAACCACACACATAAACAAACAAACAAATAAATAAATAAAGTTTATATAAATCTTGTGGAAACAACTAGCTAGAGTCAAATGCTCATTACTACCTCGTCAAGATGCAATATTGCTTATTTATTCATTCATTTTCTCAGACACTTTTAACCCCTGTACTGGGAAGGCAAACAGGAGAATCTCTGAGAGTGCAAGGTCAGTCTGGTCTATATATTGCGTTCTATACCAGACAAAGCATGATGAGACCTTGGGGAGGGAAGGAGAGAGGGAGAGAGAGATGAAGGAAGAGGGAGGGAGGGAAGAAGGGAGGGAGGGAGGGAGGGAGAGAGAGAGAGAGAGAGAGAGAGAGAGAGAGAGAGAGAAACCAAAAAGCAAAAAAAAAACACTACATTAAAATCAGTAAAATTCTATGTGGAGGACAGAAGACAACCTCTTAAGAGTCAGTTTTCTCTTTTTATGAGTTCCAGAGATAGCACTCAGTTCTTCAGGTTTGGTAGCAAGTGCCTTAACTCACTAGGTCATCTTGTCAATCTAAAGCTACATAATTTTTATAGTATTTCATTGCTAAGTGAGTTAAGAGTTTGGATGCCAGCATCTGTAACAAGCTGAAGTGCTTATAAATGGAGGAGGAGCAGTAAGCCTCTCTAGCTTCTAGCCTAGCTGAGATCCTTCCTCAGAAGAAGTACCTCCCTCCCCCACCCCTGTCTCACTCATTTGTGCACTCCCCCACACACACCCCCTAAAAAATCTTTTAAACAAAAATACAGTATCTAAGGTAAGTTACCAAGGCCTAGGGGTATTGCTCAATTAGGAAAACTCCGACCTACTACACTCAAAGTCCTGAGTTCAATACCCAGAATCACAAATACATGTTTCAAGAGATAATTATATAAAAATATTAGTATTTTTAGCAGAGTGGGTGGTTCATATCAGCACTTAGGAGGCAGAGGCAGGGGGGGGTCTCTGAACTCAAGGCCTGGTGTCTATATGGTAACTTCCAGGACAGTCACAGCTATAGAGTTGAGACACTATCTCATAAAGCAAAAATTAGCATTTAAATAGCCTGGGGAAAATAGCTGAATAACAGTACATGCTTAATATGTAGTCCCATTCTATTGCCAGCACTGGAAAACAACAACAACAACAACAATAATAAAAATCCCTTTAAATTGTTGTTTTAGAACTACAAAGCCTTGATTACATGTGTTTATTATTTATGAAGGGGGATCACAACACAAACATGCATGCTGAAATTAGTTCTCGCCTTTCAACCATGTGGATTTCAGGGATTCAATGCAAGTTCTTAGCACTGGAAAAAAGTGCCCGTACTGAGCTAATTCACTGGCCCCAAATTTCATATTTTATTGAAAACTAATATAGTTAATCCTGATTGAGAAAAAAACCAACAAAGCAATTTTAAATAGTTTTCTAAGGGATAAACATAATAGAGTTTTATAAACTGACCTTTAAAAGTTCCTCTGATGTAGGGCGATCTTGAGGGATTTTCTGGAGGCAAGAATCTACAAAGTTGCGAAAATAATCAGACCTATTGTAAAGAAAGTATCAAGTGAACATATTGCTATTTCCTTTAAAAACACATCCAAAAGGCTTAAGCCTACTCACGGGAGGAAGAATGGAAAAGAAATGATAATATAATTTTATCTATTCAAGGTGATCCAAAGCAACCAATTACTGTTAACATTTTCCAAAAATAGACTAACACAGAACATTTAAAAATCCTAGGCTGGGGGTAGAGTGCCATGGCAGACTATATACTTAGCTAGAAAAAAATCCTGTTTCACAGATTTATCTATCAGAAATCACTCAATATTGAGTCTAAAGGAACAAAGGCCATCCAGAGTTTTTCTCCATTCAAATACCAGACTCCTCCCTTTAATTATCTTCTTATTTGTACTTTGGATTGTTTTCTATAGAACATGTTTAGAATATAACTCTTATTCCCTCTGGAGAAGAACATTTTGTTTGTTTTGTTTTTCAAGACAGATCTTTTCAGTATAGTTCTGAAACTTACTCTGTAGACCAGGAGAGAAGAACATTTTTAAACACCTGAGCAATTGCTGACCCTGACCAAAAGGATAAGGCTTCTATTAAAAATCTAGAAAACCAATAGATATATTAAAATATTAAAAGCCTATAATGTGTCATTATAGTATTGTTCATGGGAGTTCAGTGATCATCCAATAAATAATTATTCCATCAACGTTTATCTCCAATATTAAAATGGTAACAAATTTTGTTGTTGTTGTTTGTTTTTTGAGAAAGGGTTTCACACTATAGCCCAGGCTGGACTTAAACTTGAAGTAATCCTCCTGTCTCATCCTCCTAAAGGCAGGGATCACAGAAAATTGTTTTTCATTGTACAAGTGATCATAAGTTTACCTTACCTCTCAGAAGAGACCTCAGGCAGTGGGTTTTTATATAATGTTGGAACTGTTAAAGACTATGGAAACTTTCAGAGATAAAATAATATTTTGTATTAAGAAATGAACATGTGCCGGGCGATGGTGGCGCACGCCTTTAATCCCAGCACTCGGGAGGCAGAGGCAGGTGGATCTCTGTGAGTTCGAGACCAGCCTGGTCTACAGAGCTAGTCCCAGGACAGGCTCCAAAGCCACAGAGAAACGCTGTCTCAAAAAAACAAAAAAAAAGAAATGAACATGCAACTTTAGGGGAAAGAAGTGTAATGCTGACAAGGGGTAGAATGGTAATGGCTAATTCTATCAACTGAACAGAATTTAGAATTACCATGGAAACACACCTGAGTGGGTCTATGAGGGTGCTTCCAGGAAGATACAACTGAGGAAGACCCACGCTGAATGTAGATGGCACCATCCCATGGGCCGTAGTCCCAGGCTGAATAAATAGGGCAAGGCAAATGGAGCTCCAGGATCAATCTCTATGCAATTCCTCACTGAAGACACAAGGTATCAAGTTCCTACCATCATGCCTTCCCCATCATGATGGACTATATCCTTAAACTGTCATTTCAAATAACCTCTTCCTTCTTTAACTTGCCTTTTGTTACAGAAATGAGAAAAGTAACTAATGCACAATTTTTCAACTCATAACAATTCTAGTCTAAACTTGTTAATCTCTTCTCCACATACTATTTAACATGAAGTTTTATCAAGTCAAAGACTACACACCAGAAGAAAAATCAGAGAAATGAGAATAACAGTTAGCTAGAGTGTTCCCAAGGTTTTAGATAAACTAACAATTTTGAAAGAAAAAAAAATCATACCATCTTACCTATGTCTTTTATAATGTAAATGATAATCTATTTATCAAATAATTATCACAACAGGTTATAACAATCTATACATTTTGTTGTAAAAATTAATGCTTTAAAACACTATTAAATTATTAGGATTAGGGGCTGGAGAGATGGCTCAGAGGTTAAGAGCATTGCCTGCTCTTCCAAAGGTCCTGAGTTCAATTCCCAGCAACTACATGGTGGCTCACAACCCTCTGTAATGGGGTCTGGTGCCCTCTTCTGGCCTGTAGGCATATACACAGACAGAATATGATATACATAATAAATATTTTAAAAAAATTAGGATTATTTGTGCTCCAAAAATTTAATGAAAAAGTAAACCTACTTACTTTTCAAGTACTACATTTACTTATATAAAATTGAATCATATTGATAACAATTTATATTTTATCAATATTAACAAAATTTTCAAAACGTTAATCAGTATCTTGTGGGAATACTCACCATTCATTAGACTGTAGTGTAGGGGATTCATTTTGGGCTATGTGATATAAGGCACTCATTGCATTCATATTAAATAAAGGAGGCTTCCTCTCGGCTATGAAAGAGAAGAAACCCTTTTGTTAGAATATGAATATATAAGAATAGTAAAATGTTGATCAAATTTTAAAGAACACATTTTGAAAACAACTTTAAGCTTAATTAAAAAAATTGTAGAAAGACCTTTTTTATTTAGTTGTTTTGGAAGCCAGAGTTTCTCTGTGTAACAGCCCTGACTGTCCTAGAACTCACTTTGTAGACCAGGCTGGCCTCGAACTTGTAGGGAACCACCTGCATCTGCCTCCCGCATGCTGGGATTAAAAACATCCACCACCACCGCCCGGCTATTTATTATTTTTATGTATATGAGCGATCTGTCTTCAGGAACACCAGAACACCTGGCTACAAAGAACTTCTCTTTAAAAATATGAATGAATGTATGTATGTGTGTATCTATTTATTTTTGTTTTGGTTTTGGGTTTTTTTGTTTGTTTGTTTGTTTTGAGATGGTTTCTCTGTAGCTTTGGAGCCTGTCCTGGAATTCTTTAAGACCAGACTGGCCTTGAACTTAGAAACCCATCCACCTGCCTCTGACTCCACAGTACTGGGATTACAGGCATGTACCATCACTGCCTGGCTATTTATTTATTTTATGTATATGAGTGATCCATCTTCACAAACACCAGAAGAAGACATCAGATCCCATTACAGATAGTTGTGAGCCACCACCATGTGGGTGCTGGGAATAGAACTCAGGTACTCTGGAAGAGCAACTTTAACAGCTGTGCAGTTTTTTTCAGCTCCTACAAAGAACTTTTAAATGTGACTCAATTGAGATAAACTGCTTGCTCTGATGGTCCACCATCCCTAAATACTTCAATATATATAAGAACATTTTCAAAAAACCACATGATATGCATTAAATTGTGCCACTCAACGGTGTTAGAGTCACCTGATAGCAAACTCTATTGAAGTTTGGTTCCAAAACCCTAATCAATATTGCCATATGTAGTTTTAATCATCTGTGTCTGTCAAGGAATCAGACCACTGCATCGAGTCTTCAAATTCAGACAGAAAACTGTTCATATTTTCATATCATTTTTGGGGGTACACATGGTTATACGCACCTTTGCATATGGATCAGTGTCTTCCTTTATTGCCCTAACACAGGGATTTCTTTTTTTTTTTGTTTTGTTTTGTTTTGTTTTGTTTTGCAAGCCTGGTTTCTTTGTGTAGCCTTGGCTGTCCTGGAACTCACTCTGTAGACCAGACTGGCCTCAAACTCACAGAGATCCGCTTGTATCTGCCTCCTGTGTGCTGAGATTTGTACTCTGGCCATATTTACAAAGCAAGTGTCCTATTTACATATCCCCTGGCCTTCATTTTATTTTTGTTGCTATTTTAAAATTATTTGTTTGTGTCTGCATAGGGTATGTATACAAGAAACCAGAAGAGGATGTCAGATCCCCTAGAGTAGTATGAGTACTTTAACTGCTAATGCATCTGTTTAGTCCCCTACATAATCTTTAATAATCAATATTAATTGTTATTCCTCATTCACAGCCCCTATCTTTGATTCTACTTTTTAGACAATGTCTTACACTATAGACCAGGCTAACCGGAACTCACTACATGGCCAGACTAGCTCCAAACCATGGTGATTCACCTACCGTCAGTTTCCTAAATCTTGGGATTATAAATGTGATCTATCACACCTGGTTTCTCTCGTTCCTAATATTAGAAATTTGTATCTTTTTTTCTAACCAAAATGAAAAAAGGTTTATCAATTTTAATGACTTTCATAAGTAGCCAGATTTTAGTTTCAATGATGTTTTCTATTTTTCAATTTTCTGCTTAACTGAGTTTTTATTTTGATCTTACTTTATTATTCTGTTATTTGTTTATTCTCAGTTCAGATTTTTCTAAAAGGTGAAATTGGGGGAGATGGCTCAGTAGGTGAAAGCACTTGCCACCATGCCTGATAACCTGAATTCAATCCCCTCAAAACCCACATGATATAAGGAAAAAGAAACGACTCCCTGAGTTGTAGACAGCCATTGACACCAGAAGAGGGTGTCAGATTCCCTGGCAGTGGAGTTACAGGCAGTTGTGAACCACCTGATAAAAATGATAAGAACTAAAGTCTGGTTCTCTGCAAAAGCAGCAAGGGCTCTTTAGAGCTAAGTCATCTCTCTGGCCCATTTTTACATCTTTTTTTTTAATTTTTATTTATTATGTATATAGTGTTCTGGGCACCAGATATCATTATAGATGGGTGTGAGCCATCATGTGGTTGCTGGGAATTGAACTCAGGACCTCTGGAACAGCAGTCAGTTCTCTTAACCTCTGAGCCATCTCTCCAGCCCCCCATTTTTACATCTTTTCAACAGACAGAATTAAAGAACACATGCAAAAACTTAACAGACACATATAACACATTTCTTTCTACATTATTAAAAATAATAGCCAGGTGTGGTAGTGCAAGCCTTTAGTCTCAGCACTCAGGAGGCAGAGTCAGCAGCCTGGTATACATAATGAACTTCAAAACAGTCTGCTACATGAGACCCTGCCTCAAAAAAAAATCAAAATCAAAAACAAAAGAAAAAACAAAGAATAATTCAGCATTTCATCTCAAATTTCAATCCAAAACCACAGTATTTGCTACACTGTACTTTAACAATAGCAAATATTATTCCTACTACCTCCTCCCTTGCCTTTCACCCGATTTTAGTCTTATTCTGCAGTGCAGGCTTACCTAGACTTCATGGCAATCCTCTTATTTCAGTCTCCCAAGTGCTGTGATTATAGGCATGAATCATCATACTGAGACTTTACTGTTTATTTAATAATCTGCTTTTGTGTGTAACCAAGGTAGCATTTCTGCTGTCACTCTCTGCCAATGCCCTATTCCAAACACAGTGGGAATAACTTTTTGGTTTCTGACATCTCAGGCAAACCAGGTCTCTTCTCTGCAGTGAGGAATGCCTCATTAGGGTAAGTTCCCATCATTTTTATTTGGCTATACTAGGTTATCCCAAATATGGATTGCTTCTATAAACACTAACTCTCCTCCCTACTTTCCTTGATCTCTAAAAAACTCTTAAGACATCTCCAGGAATGAATGCTTTACTAACTATCAGATCTTTTAATCTCCACACTGAACCTTCCTCTCGCATACATACTCCTTATCCATTTCTAATTTCATACTATGTTACAGGAACTCACTACTACACTCAAATCTGACATCCACTTTAGGTTAGCACAGTTGGTTCACTGGCTAACAGGTTATCTATATTCTACCTCACATAGTAGTTTGAAGAATACTGTACAAGCCAGGCAATGGAGGTATACACCTTTAATCCCAGCACTTGGGCAGAAGAGGTAGGCGGATCTCTGAGTTCCAGCCTGGGCTACAAAGTAAGTTCCAGGACAGTCAGGAATACAGAGAAACACAATCTAGAAACAAAGGGGTTGGGGGACAAGAACTATAGGGAAAGAGAAAAGGAATACTGAAGATATTTGGAATGAATGGAAGAATAATATCCACTTCTGTTATTATTAAGGTCTTCAATTAGGTAGATTCAGCTGACCTCTATTCTCATCTCTTCTAGGTTTTATAGTCCAGGAGAGGTGCAAACTTCCTTATATAGTTGTGGATGACTTTGAATTTCTAACCATTCTGCCTCATTCTTAGTTTTATATGGTTCAGGGGAATCAAACCCCAGGTTTCACTTAGATAGAGTGAATCTACCAACAGAGCTGTATCTCTAGCCCTTCAAACAAACAATTTTAGTCTAAATTTTTTTTTCTTTTTTGATGAACATGGTGTTCACACCTTTAATCCCAGTACTCTGGAGGCAGAGGCAGGCAGATCTCTGTGATCTATCTAAGCCAGCCTAGTCTATATATATTTTTATAGAGCCAAGATTTTTTTTAATTAATTTATTTATTTATTATGTGTACAACATTCTGCTTCCCACACACCAGAAGAGGGCGCCAGATCTCATAGATGGTTGTGAGCCACCATGTGGTTGCTGGGAATTGAACTCAGGACCTCTGGAAGAGCAGTCAGTGCTCTGAACCTCTGAGCCATCTCTCCAGCCCAGAGCCAAGATTTTTTTGAAATTCAGTGTATCCCTATGCAGCATTGACTGACTTGGACATCACTATGTAGGTCAAATAAAGATTCTCCTAAACCTTCTACCCAAATGCTGGCATTACCATATGTGTCATCAGGACGTGTCTTGATCTCTTTTCTTTCTTTCTTTTCTTTTTTCTTGATAAAGAATCTCTTGTAGACCAGGCTGCACTCTAAATCATCATGTAGCTCAGTATGACCTTAAACTCCTGATTCTCCTGAGTTATGGGATTACAGGCATATTCTATCATGCTTGGTCTCTGGGCTATTGGTACCAAACACAAGGCTTCATGAATATGTACACTACACCAACCAAACTATACCACCAACTTCTCACATTCTTATAAACTATCTAAATTTCATTTAAACAAAAGAATTAATTTTTAAAAGACAGGCTCTCACTATGTGGCCCTGGTTGCCTGGAACTCTTACTATGTAGACCAAGAAGGTCTCAAACTCAGAAATCTGCCTGCCTGTCTTCTATTCTCCAGTGCTGGATAATAAAGGCATGGTGGCATATGCCTGGCCAAATTTATTTTCTTAATTTCAGAGGTCTTAATATTTATTATTGTGCATGTATGTTTTACCAATTCTAACCCACACTAAATACCTATAACACTATGGTTCCACTTGAACAAAGTCTGACTTACTGTCTTTTGCAGGTCTTACTAAATTTCCCAGGCTACTTTGAATTCCCTCTCTTGTCAGGAAGACCTTGAATTTGTAATCCTCCACCATAACAGGAGTCAAGGCCTACCCAAAAGGGGCAGTTTGGACATCTAATTTCTAAATTTAAAAGTAACTAACTTGCAGGACAGTGGTGGCACACACCTTAATCCCAGCACTCAAGAAGGCAGAGGCAGACAGATCTCTGAGTTTGAAGGCAGCCTGGTCTACAAAGAGAGTTCTAGTGCTATTGTTACACAGAGAAACTCTGTCTCAAAAAAAAAAAAAAAAAAAAGGTAACATATATAGTAATGAATGATTCATAAATGACTAAGAAACATTCTGTGGAAAGAAAATATAGTAATAGTTGGTACACTGTAAGTATTAAACAAACATTAATGTCAGACAGATATTTAAGACAACAGTGAAAAGTTATTTTTGAACTAATAGCAAATATATTTTATCCAATATATATTAGGTTAATATAGAAATTATCAGATGATCAAAGTAAAAGTTTTAAATGATTTATTTTTTTCCCCCTTAAATTTGAGGCTGAAGAGATGGCTCAAGAGTTAAGAGAACTGCCTGTTCTTCCTGAAAACCTGAGTTCAATTCCTAGCACCTACACAGAGGTTCAGAACCATCGGCAATTACAGTCCCAAGGATCCAACACACTCTCTTCTGGTCTCCCTGGATACCAGATACCAGGCACATGTATGGAACTCACGCATTCAGGCAGAGAAAAATACCTATACACATATAAAACCAAATATTTTTCAAAAAATTGAGATGTCAGACAAAAAACTAATTTAATATGGTAACTGAAAAAACTGGCTCAAAACTTAATTCAGGTAGGTGTGGTGGCTCACTTTTAATCTTAGCACTCAGAAAGCAGAGACAGGGGGATCTTTGTGAGTTTAAAGCCACTCTGGTCTACATAGCAAATTATAGAACAATCGTGGGGGCTTCACAGTGAGATTCAAAAAAAAAATTAATCCCTAGTAATAAAAAACAATACTTACCTAATTCAATACATGTTATTCCAAGAGACCATACATCAACTTTACCATCATATTGTCCTTCATCCATGGCTAAAATTACTTCTGGGGCCATCCTAAAATATACAATATTCAATTCAACAAAACTTTGAGAATATAAGCTCCATCAACATAAATAACATTGGATTGAACTCCAGTCAATATATGTAAACAAAAAATTTTTACAACGGGAAGCAAATTAGAAGTTGTGATGCATGTATTTAGCAATGCTCAGAAAACATGATACTCATTCTCGCCATCTGTCATGATCATTCAACAATATTCCAACAAGAAAATCCCAAATTTCATTACAAAATTCTAATACTTGTCTGAAATATTGAAGTTTGCCATGGGCAAAACTGTCAGTTGTTTTACCTGAAATGAAAAGGCAGGCACAAGCCTGGCCATAAAATTGTATCCTGACCCTTTAATGTTTTAGAAACTGGACAGTCACAAATGTCTAATATGCTTTTGACACTTTACATTCCAGAGCAATATACCATTTAATCAAGTCTTTCTTTTATTTATTTTTTAAATATTTATTTATTTATTNCCAGACCCCATTACAGATGGTTGTGAGCCACCATGTGGTTGTTGGGAATTGAACTCAGGACCTTTGGAAGAGCAGGCAATACTCTTAACTCTGAGCCATCTCTCCAGCCCCAAGTCTTTCTTTTATAAAATAAGAGAGATTTCAAAGACAGATTAGAAACAAAACAAAACAGGATGATGTGAAAAGAGGTACTTTTAAGTTGACACATGGAAGTTTAAATATCTGAAAATATATTTCCTTCAAATTTTCACTGACAGCTACATATAAAATTATTCAAAGACCAAAGCAGATATTACCTAGAATTTCAATAGAAAATATCTGGGGTAGAAAGTAGGGAAGGCAGAATTAACCATGTGATAAAGGTTACTGGGCTGGGTAATTAGGATGAAAAACCTCATCACACTTCTATTTTTTTGGACATCTGAAATTCCTCATGCAGAAAATTCAAAACAGCAAAACCCCTCCAAATCACCTGCCAGTCTAAGTAGTAATACAAAGTAAATTTGCTCTCATAAAACAGAAGGAAGAGGAGCCTGGTGGTGGTCTTTAATCCCAGCACTCATGAGGCAAAGGCAGGCAGATCTCTGTAAGTGCAAGGCCAGCCTGGTCTACAAGATCTAGTTCCAGGACAGGCTCCAAAGCTACAGAGAAACCCTGTCTCGGGGAGGGAAAAAAAAAAAAAAAACAGAAGGAAGAGGATCAGGGATGCACATCACCCTCAACTAAAGTCCAACATGATAGCATATTTTCAAGAAAATGATATTACAGAAAGTCTAAAATACTGCTTATTTTAATTATGAGCACCAATAGAAGATAAGACCATTCTTACCAATATGGCGTTCCCACAAAAGAATTGGCAGGGGAGGCCATGGAAGCAGATCCAAAGTCAGCAAGTTTCACCTGGCCTGGTTCTGTCAGAAGGATATTTCCTGCTTTGATATCTCTGGTTTAGGAAACACAGAAAATTAGTTAACTTCCCTTCAATAGACTGTGTTAGAAATTATTTTTAAAATGTAAGAGAGCAGAAAGGAAATAAAAAACAAGTATTGCAATAATTATGATTTGTGATAATTATTAATAAATTGTGATAACAAAATTTTGTAACAACAAAAACAGAATTCAAGTAAATAGTTAATAATTAGGAGAATAGTTAACAAAACAAAAAAAGTCAGGCAATTGTATTACACTGCGTGTGTTTGAGTTTGTTTATCAGTATGACCAATTGGCTTTGAAAATATAATTTAATAATCCTTTCATCATTTTATAAGATTTCTAGTATCCCTTTTAACAGTTTTCTTCTCTTTCCTGTTTTTCTTTTTTTTTTTTTTTTGAGACAGCCCTAGCTGTCCTGTAACTCACCACCACCTAGCTTTAACACTTTTCTTTAAAAAAGGAAAAAGAGTAAAGAACCTTATATTCCAAACTGGGTTTGTACCAAAAGGATTATCCCCTTCTCAAGCTTTTACATAGTTCCCAATTAAACATGCAATGAAAACTGAAGCACACATATAATACACTATCAATGGCCCCAAACACAGTATCCAAATTAAGCTATATGAATGTTTACACAAAAGGAATACATGTTCCATGGATGCTAAAATACATACTTAACATTTTAAAACTTAGAAAAAACAAATTTATAAGACTTACTGATTCTTGTTATAGTACATGTAATAGTGAGTATACTATAATACACTTTTTATGTGTGTTTTTGCTTTTTAAATGGGAAAGTACTTCTCCCTGCCCACTGTGATGTGATTATGTGTGTGTTTTTGGGTGTATGGTAATGTGGATTAAATTCTAAGCCTTATGCATAGTGAGGTATTTTTGCAGATGAGAAAATTTACTCCAATTCTGCCAATTGCTCACTTGCTACCATATGGATTTCTCTTGGATTTCACCTACCCTCATCTAAAAATAATGACAATCCATTATTTTTAAATAAATGAATGTACTGCACAGTTTAATAGTTACTGACAGGATCACATAATATTTTAAATACTAATATCTATCTTAAACAGCCAAAACTAATAGCAGTGCTAAAAAAAAATGCATCGAAATGGTTTTTGTCACAGAATCAATGGAACAAACCTGCAATTTATTAGTTATCAGGAAAAAAAAGATCACTAAGTTCATACTCTAATCTATTTGCCTTTGGAATCTTAGGGAAATTATAGTCACAAATTAAAGTATCAATTATACAAAAAGAAAGACTCTGTGATTCCTAATACCCCTTCTAGTTTACAAATTAGGTAATTCTACAATTAAGTTTCATAAAATACATATGCTTTAGGAAACATAGCAGGCAAAAATAAAAATTATCCTAAAGAAACACACATATACTATGTTCTTTCTAATATGTAAACAGTCTAAATAGTGTTGAGTTTATAGGCAATTCTTTTTGGCTGAAGTAAACAAAAATTCCAGAGACACTGAACTATAGGGGTGATAAATTCAATAAACCACTTGCTTGTCAATATATGATAATTTTCAAATCACTTACCTATGGATCATGGTATGAGAATGTAAATAAGCTAATCCCTGGAGAGCACCATGTGTAATTGCTGCTATTTCCACTTCTTGTAATGGCTTTTTATGAACTGAGAAAAGAAAATTTATTTGAAAGCAATCACATAGAATATTCTTGTTTAAAAATATATACAGGGATAACAAGATAGGTTAATGAGTAAATGTATAAGCCTGTGGATCTGAGTTCAATTCCCTAAACCTACCTACCCACTAGAAGAAGAGTTGTCAAGTTGTCCTCTGGCTTTCACATATACACTGTGGTGCACATGCACATAAATACAAACAAACCCATATAAAATAATTAAAAAAAAACTTTTTAAATGAATATACAAATTGACACACTGGTTTGTTTGTTTGTTTGTCTGTTTTCCTAGACAGGGGTTCTCTGTATAGCCCTAGCTGTCCTGGAACTTGCTCTGTAGACCAGGCTAGCTTCAAATTCATAGAAATCCTTCTGTCTCTGCCTCCCAAGTGCTCAGATTAAAGGCATGTGCCACTACTACCCAGCTGACACATTGGTATTGTAGTGACTATGCGTATAATATGTGTGTGTATCATAGTTTATGTATGGAGGTCAAAGGAAACCACTGATCCTCACCTCCTACCTTGTTTGAGGCAGTCTCTTTAGTATTTGCTGTCCACATATGCCAGGCTATCTAGGCCACAAGCCTCTAAGGATTTTCCTGTCTCTACCTCTATCTCCTTATGGAGCAGTGGAATTACTGAGGCACACAACATATACCTAACTTTACTTGTGTTCTGAGGATTTGAACTTAGTCTTAATATTTGTGCAGCAATTGCTTTACTCACTGAGCTATCTCCTCAATTTTTGAAAAACAGGCATTTAGCAGGAGACAATTTCCATGGTGATAAAACAAGACCAATAAACAATAGCTAGAATACACTTATGACAAGGGTTAACAATATACAATCAACTGTTCCTCTAAACTTAACAATACCCAACAATTAACCTGATGACTTTATTAACACAACAGATCAAATAGAGGAAAAAGAATTTTTTTAATGCATAGAAAGTTTCAAAGAGAAAAATCTGCCTACTTTGTAAGGATAGCAAATTTCGTATGAAGAAAAAGGAAAAGACAAGGGATAATACACTTTCTGCAAAATTTTATATTTATTTAGTATTAATATTGCTTAAATAAACTCTAACTGAATTGTTTTGTTTGATTGATTTGGTATTTGAAACAGGATGTCTCTATATAGCTCTGGCTCTTCTGAAACTAACTTGTTACGTATGTAGATCAGGGGCTGGCTTCAAACTCAGATACATCTGCCTCTGTCGCCCAAGTTCTGGAATTAAAGGAGTACACAACCACCTCTAGGACAAAATTGCTATTTTACTCTAAAACTTTAATAAACAATGATCAAGGTCAGGAATGGTGGCACAGGTTTTTAATCAAATCAGGCAGGATATAGAAGCCTGGTCTACATAGCAAGTTCCAGGACCTCCAAGGGTTCTTTAAAGAGATCATGTTTCAAAATTTATTTATTTTTTCACTCATCAATTCATTCATTTATTCATTTATCTATCTATGTTTTTTAGAGACAGGGTTTTTGTGTAGCCCAGGCAGTTCTGGAATTCACTCTGTAGACCAGGCTAGACTCAAAATCAGAGATCCACATGCTTCTGCTTCTTGAGTGTTAGAATTAAAGATATGTGCCACAATAGCCTGACTTTAAAATTAAACAACCAAAAATCAATAATCAAAGTTAGTTTACCTTCTAGCAAATCTGAAGCAGATCCCAAACAATATTCCATTACAAGCTGCATGGGTAGAAAAATTATTAAATGCATTAAAATACATTATAAAAACTTAGTCTATGAGATAAATATGAAGTCAAGAAGACAATATAAAGTAAAATAAACTTGAGCTATCATCCACATTTACAATACAGTTATATACTTAGCAATCTATTAAACTAACCTAATGAATGATTCAGGCATGGTAACACCAGTGATCTCAGTAGTTGGGATGCCAAGGCAAAAAATATGAGGCCACATAGCAACACTGTTTCTTTAAACTATTAAACAAAATTTAAGCCAATGATAACACTTGTCTTCTAATAATGTTAAGATGAAATCAATTATATAAGCTGTGTATTGTATATATATTTTCTTATATAAATTTATAATTATATATAATTACCTCTATAATACTATTCTTATACACAATGTCACAATTTGCTATGTTAAGTGTTATTCAACTATGGAATTATGTCACCTCAAATTTTTATCATGATATATCAAAACTTCACAAGGATCTTTGTACTTAGATGTATTAACACACATTTACACCAATAAGGTATGTTCACTTCCATTCTCAAATAAATGGTACTACTCTTTAGATGCTGAGTTGGTACTTCTGAAGTTATGAATGAACTCTGGAGAAGTCTTTATCTGTTAAAAGTTGCAAGAATACTGTTCTTCCTCTCCTAGGATGAACTAACAATTCAAGTATAAAGCCTGTCTTCATATAACCAATTTGAGACATTAAGTTATGCTAAATCAAAAGAAACTAATTTAATTTACAACAGGAAGAGAACAAATACCAACCCATGCAGTGTGTTCCCGTAAATAGCAGCCTTTATATTCTATACTGTTGGGATGTTTTATTCTTTGTAGAAACTTGACTTCCTTAATAATATCCTGCCATTTCTATGTAGAGGGAGAAAAAAAGGAACAGAAGGAAGAATTATGAACAGCTGATTTTTCTTTGAAAGATACATAAGAAGTAATTATTATATTTAAAAAGGTAAGAAGAACAAACAACTTTATGATCTATACCAGAAATGTCAAAATAAAGTTTAAAAGATCTGTATTCAGACCATTAATTTAGTTATATAAGATACAAGACATTTAAGGACAAATTTTAGCTTAATAATATTCATAATCAATGAGTCCTACTATGTTTTATAGTAGGCTAGTGAGATGATTCTGAAGTTAAAAGCACTTGTTACTCTTCTAGAAAACCTGAGTTCAATTCTTAGTACACACATGGCAGTTTATCCATTTATAGTGGTCCATCCTTTTCTGGCCTCTAGAAGTACCAGGCACACACAAGGTATACAAACATACACAGAGGGCTGGAGAGATGGTTCAGTGGTTAAGAGCATTGCCTGCTCTTCCAAAGGTCCTGAGTTCAATTCCCTGCAACCACATGGTGGCTCACAACCATCTGTAATGGGGTCTGGTGCCCTCTTCTGGCCCGCAGACATACACACAGACATAATATTGTATACATAATAAATAAATAAATATTTAAAAAAAAACATACACAGACAAATACATATAAAATAAAAAATCTTAAATCAAACAATCAAGCACATTGACAAAAATAAAACACACATGGGTTTTCTTTCCCTCAGAAGTCAATCTTTTTATTTTCTTTAAATAAAATTATTTTTAAATGATTAATTAAAGTTAATTTTATTAATTTCTTGAGCATTTCATAGAATGTATTGTGATCATATTCATCTCCTTACTTTGAACATTCCACATTCACCCCACCTATTTACCCACCCAATTTTGCTTTCCCTCTCTTTTTTGCTTTAAAGATAATCCAGTTGGGCAGTGGTGGCACACACCTTTAATCCCAACACTTGGGAGCCAGTGGCAGGTGAATGTCTGAGTTGGAGGGCGGCCTGGTCTACAGAGCGAGTTTCAGGACAGCCAAGACTACACAGAGAAAGCATGTCTTGAAAAACCAATAAAATAAAACAAAATCATCCAGTTCAATTTGTGCTGTCCAAATACTTTGAGTGTTAGACCTGCACTACCTACCAGGGGTCACACCCTTAAAGAAAACTGACTCTTCCACCAGCAGCATTCAATTGTTACCACTTTCTTCTGGACTCCCTGGACACCAGGCACATACATGGGGCACAGAAATACATGTGGGCAAAATACCCATATACATAAAATAAAAAGAAAATGATAGAATAACTATGTATTAAAGGTAACAGAAAAAAGGGAGTATAATAATGATTTTCCTACATATTCTGCTGATTTCTTTCTCTCACAAGTATCATGAAATATAGAAAACATTTAGGGCAACATCCTTAAATCCTCGTATGTGTGTGTGTGTGTACACATGTCCATATGTGAGTGCAGGTACAGCCATGCCACGGTACATGTGCAGAGATCAATAGTCAACAAGAGAATGTTTTGGGAAACAGGGCCTGCTCTTTGTTCTTCTTTGCTGTACATGCCAGGTCAACAGTGCATTCAGATTCTGCAGATTCTGTCTTCACCACCTATCTCATGAAAGCACTGGGATTACAGACAGGTACCTAGCTTTTATGTGGGTCCAGGGGAGTCAAATTCAGGTATTCACACTTACGTGGCAAGTACTTTACACACTGAGACAACCCTCCAGTCCCTACACATATTACTTGTGTGTGTGCACACACATGTGTATATTGCTGGGAAATGAAAATAGGGCCACAAACATGCTGGGCAAATGCTCTATTTCTGAGCTAAATTTCCAGACCTACATAATTACTCTTATGAAGCAAATCAGTAAACTTTAAAAATAAAAGTCCGTACTTCCAATCAGCCATTCCACAAGTTCAATAAATATCGTATAAAGACCAATCTGTTTGGAGTTCTTGTTTTAGTCAATCTATTAGTCATAAAGTTGATTTAACACAACATTAAATAAAATTATGCTTCAAAGAAATATCAGTTTTTAGATACCAAAATGACAGAAAGATATAATAGTATTACCATACCCTTAGCTCAATAATCACCAAACCAAGATTTACCACAAAACAGATTCAAAACAAATAGGACAGATTCAATGTAATGCCCATCAAAATTCCATCAACATTATTCAAAAACCTCGAAAGAATGGTACTCAACTTCATATGGAAAAGCAAAAAACCCAGGATAGCCAAAACAATCCTGTACAATAAAAGAACTTCTGGAGGCATCACAATCCCTGACTTCAAACTCTACTACAGAGCTACAGTACTGAAAACAGCCTGGTATTGGTATAAAAACAGACAGGAGAACCAATGGAACTGAATAGAAGACCCAGATACCAATCCACACATCTTTGAACACCTGATCTTTGCTAAAGAAGCAAAAAATATCAAATGGAAAAAAAGAAAGCATATTTAACAAGTGGTGCTGGCATAAATGGATATCAACATGTAGAAGAATGAAAATAGACCCATATCTATCACCATGCACAAAACTCAAGTCCAAATGGATCAAAGACCTCAACATAAAGCCAGCCACACTGAACCTTATAGAAGAGAAAGTGGGAAGTACACTTGAATGCATTGGCACAGGGAACCACTTCCTAAATAGAACCCCAGCAGCATAGACACTGAGAAATAATTAATAAATGGGACCTCCTGAAACTGAAAACCTTCTGTAAAGCAAAGAACACAGTCAACAAGACAAAATGACAGCCTACAGAATGGGAAAAGATCTTCACTAACCCCACATCAGACAGAAGTCTGATCTCCAAAATATACAAAGAACTCAAGAAATTGGACACCAAAAGATCACATAATCCAATTTAAAAAAAAAAAAATGAAGTACAGACCTAAACAGAGAACTTTCAACAGAGGCATCTAAAATGGCTGAAAGACACTTAAGGAAATGTTCAACATCCTTAGTCATCAGAGAAATGCAAATCAAAACAACTCTGAGATTCCATCTTACACCTATAAGAATGGCTAAGATCAGGGGCTGGAGAGATGGCTCAGAGGTTAAGAGCACTGGCTGCTCTTCCAAAGGTCCTGAGTTCAATTCCCAGCAACCACATGATGGCTCACAACCATCTGTAATGGGGTCTGGTGCCCTCTTCTGGCCTGCAGGCATACACAGACAGAATATTGTATACATAATAAATAAATTTAAAAAAAAAAAGAATGGCTAAATTAAAAACCCTGATGACAACTTAAGCTGGAGAGATTGTGGGGAAAAGGGAACACTTTTGCATTGCTGGTGGGAATGCAAGCTGGTACAACCCCTTTGGATGTCAGTGTGGCGATTTCTCAGAAAATTAGGAAACAACCTTCCTCAAGACCCAGTAATACCACTTTTGGGTATATATCCAAAGGACGCTCAATCATGCCACAAGGACATGTGCTCAACTATGTTCATATTAGCTTTGTTTGTCATAGCCAGAACCTGGAAACAACCTAAATGCCCCTAGACCGAAGAATGGATAAGAAAAATGTGGTACATTTACACAATGGAGTACTACACAGCAGAAAAAAAATGGCATCTTGAAATTTGTGGGCAAATGGATGGATCTAGAAATCATCATATTGAGTGAGGTAACCCAGACCCAGAAAGACATTTATCACATGTACTCACTCATACGCAGTTTTTAAACATAAAGCAAAGAAAACAGCCAACAAACCACAATCCCAGAGAACTTAGACAACAATGCGGACACTAAGAGAGACTTACATAGATCTAATCTACATGGGAAGTAGAAAGTAGAAAAAGATAAGATCTCCAGAGTAAATTGGGAGTATGAGGACCTTGGGAGAGGGTTAAAGGAGGGAGGGGAGAGGCAGGAAGGGGAGCAGAGAAAAATGTTGAGCTCAATAAATATCAATAAAAATAATAAAAATAAAACAAACAGGAACTCAAGTCTTTGAAACAAATCCGGCAAGTTCCCTTCTAGACATATAACCAAAGGAAATTAAAACAAGAATCTACAGAAATATTTGTGCATTCCTATTCATAGCAGTATTATTAACAAAAGACTGAAGGAACCCAGGTCCATTTGTAGGTTTGAAAAGAAATGTGAGAGCCGGGCGGTGGTGGCGCACGCCTTTAATCCCAGCCCTCGGGAGGCAGAGGCAGAGGCAGGCGGATCTCTGGGAGTTCGAGGCCAGCCTGGTCTACAAGAGCTAGTTCCAGGACAGGCTCCAAAAAGCCATGGAGTAACCCTGTCTCAAAAATCAAAAAAAAAAAAAAAAAAAAAAAAAAAAAAGGGAGGGAA